ATAAAATGTGGTAATTCTAATAGTTTCATCAAATTAATTAGATTTTTGGAAATCACCAAGCAACCTCCCGACCCCCACATTGAGAACCACTGCACCACATAGGTGACTTGAATTAACTAAATTGGCTGTAGTGTATGAGCATGTGTGTGTGAATGAGTATGTATGAGTGTTTCCCAGTACTGGGTTGCAGCTGGAAGGGCATCCGCTGTGTAAAACATATGCTGGATAATTCCACTGTGACGACCTCTGATAAATAAGGCACTAAGCCGATGGAAAGTGAATGAATGAAGGATAATATAACCTAATTAAAGAAACTATCCACCAAAACAAAGTCGCATTAGTTAATATATATATATATATATATATATATATATACACAGTTGAAGTCAGAATTATTAGCCCCCCTGATTATTTTTTTCCCAATTTTCTGTTTAGCGGAGAGAAGATTTTTTTTTTTTTAACACATTTCTGAATATAATAGTTTTAATAACTCATCTCTAATGACTGATTTATTTTATCTTCGCCATGTTGACAGTAAATAATATTTGACTAGATATTTTTCAAGACACTTCAATACAGCTTAACTGGGTTAATTAGGTTAAATAGGCAGGTTAGGGTAATTAGGCAAGTTATTGTATAATGATGGTTTGTTCTGGAGACTATCGGAAAAATATAAAGCTTAAAGAGGCTAATAATTTTGTACTTAAAATGGGTTTTAAAAAATTAAAAACTGCTTTTATTCTAGCCGAAATAAAATAAATCAGACTTTCTCCAGAAGAAAAAACATTATCAGACATACTGTGAAAATTTCCTTGCTCTGTTAAACATCATTTGGGAAATATTTAATAAAGACTTATCTATTTGGAGCACCTTTAAATGTTAAAATGGTTAATTATCAATACGGCATGAAACATTGATCTCTTTTTCATCTGTAGGTTTAGCTGAAAATACTTTTAATTTTGCCTGCTTCAATTTGTGCAATCATTGTTTTCTGATCAGTTTCATACAATTATATTTTCAAAAAGAATTTCTGTCCAACAATGGACACAAAAACATGTCATGTTCGCATGTGTTTGGACTAATCCTGTCATGATTATTGTCATAAAAAATAGACAATGTTTAATATTTGTATTAACATAATTGTATATTTAAAACACCATCATAAAACATGGCAAAATCTTTTCACGTTCACTCATGTCAAACTGCTAATCATGCATTCATTCATTTTATTTTTCGGCTTATTCCCTTTATTAATCCGGAGTCGACACAGCGGAATGAACCGCCAACTTATTAAGCATATGTTTTATACAGCAGATGCCCTTCCAGCTGCAACCCAGTAGTGGGAAACACCCATACACTCTCATTCACACACATACACTACGAACAATTTAGCTTATTCAATTCCCCTATAGCGCATGTCTTTGGGGGAAACCGGAACACCCGGAGGAAGCGCACGCCAACATGGGGAGAATATGCAAACTCCACACAGAATTGCTATCTGACCCAGCCGGGACTCGAACCAGTGACCTTCTTGCTGTGATAAAAAAAAAAATTTCCTATGCCTGACAAATTTGCATAACCAGTTGATTAATGTTAAAACCTACAAACTTGTAAATTTCACATGCAACTCTTAATGTTTTTGACTGCTGATTCTGTCATTTTAGCTACGCTTTTTCAACACCTGCACTTTAAAATAAACAAGAACGCGAATACACTAAATGCAACTTCTGTTCATCCAACCAAGGAATAAGACACAATGACTATCTAAAGAGTTTGATTATATAAAAATAAGTAAAACCAGCAACAGAATAATAGTCTCTCTCTCATGTTTGTGTAAAGCATCTCAAGAGGATTCTGCTTCCTCCAGCTTAATTGCACAATTATTACAAACATAATAATACAATACTGACCAATAACTGTCTAGCAGACAATATTACAGCGTTTAGTCGAACGTAAACATTCAAAACCCCATCAGCAGAGAGAAACACAAGCACAGAGGAAACGCAAGCACACTTTACTAAAGATTATGTTTATTAATGCAGTATCTGAACTCTGTATACTGGTTGAGTACAGAGGTATTTACAGGACATCATCTTATATACTCTGTTAAATATATGTATAAATGTAGAACTGACACATTTGATAAATAAAAACAATGTTATTTAATGTAACAAATGACGAACATCCCAAATGAGAACGCTTTTGAAGACTGTGTTAAGTGCATTATTACCGTCCACTTGTTTTTACTTAAAAAAAGGATTCATTGGATTTAAGGTAAGTGGTTGCAAACAATTAATATGAGCTGAATTTAAACAAACAAATCCCCTAAATTTAATTTGTTTGATTAAATTCAGCCCATATACAGTTGAAGTCAGAATTATTAGCCCCCCTTAATTATTAGACCGCTTGTTTATTATTTCCCCAATTTCTGTTTAACGGAGAGGGTTTTTTTTCAACACATTTCTAAACATAATAGTTTAATAACTCATCTCTAATAACTGATTTATTTTATCTTTGCCATGATGACAGTAAATACCATTAGACTAGATATTCTTCAAGACACTTCTATACAGCTTAAAGTGACATTTAAAGGCTTAACTAGGTTAATTAGGTTAACTAGGCAGGTTAGGGTAATTAGGCAAGTTATTGTATAATGATGGTTTGTTCTGTAGGTTATCGAGAAAAAATATTGCTTTAAGGGGCTAATAATTTTGACCTTAAAATGGTGTTTAAAAAAATTAAAACTGCTTTTATTCTAGCCGAAATAAAACAAAAAAGACTTACTCCAAATAAAAAAAAAATATTATCAGACACACTGTGAAAATGTCCTTGCTCTGTTAAACATCATTTGGGAAATATTTTAAAAAGAAGAAAAAAATTCGAAGGGGGCTAATAATTCTGACTTCAACTGTAAATAGTTTGCAACCTTTTACCTTAAATCCAATGAATCATTTATTTCAGTGTGTTTTTTCCTCATTCATTTTTTTTCCATATGGATTTTTTTTTATCAAAGCCTTTGTTAAAGCATTTTATTAATTCATTAAACACTCCAGCATTGAGGAGAATTCCAACATGGGATATCCCACTGGTATATCTCCCCCCAATTCATACTTTTTTAATTCAGTGGCTAATGCTGGGGTCACACTAGAGTTTGAGCATGTGAAATTCTGTCGTATGGCGGGATTAAACAAGATGATTAGACATTTTAAAAAGCCAGGGTTTGGTCCATATTTAAAATTTCTGTCCAGAGAGGTCATGACAAGAATTATACAAGAATATTCATTTTTGGGTGAATATCCTTTTTAAAATACAGCTAGCGACATATTTATCAGCGTACAGTGCATACGCAGAGTGTTGATAGCGCTTCACTTTTTTCACGTTTTTTATGTTATTCCTTATTACAAAATGGATTAAATACATTTATTTCCTTAACATTCTACACTCAATACCCCATAATGACAATGTGAAAAAGGAGTTTTTTTAATTGTTGCAAATTTATGAAAAATAAAAAACCTGAAAATTCACATGTACATCAGTATTCACAGCCTTTGACGTGAAGCTCTAAGTTGAGCTCAGCTACATTCTGTTTCCGCTGATCATTCTTGAGATGTTTCAGCAGCTTCATTGGAGTTCACCTGTGGTCAATTCAGTTGATTGGACATGATTTGAAAAGGCATACACCTGTCTATATAAGGTCCCATGGTTGACAGTGCATGTCAAAGCACAAACCAAGCATGAAGACAAAGGAATTGTCTGTAGACCTCCGAGACAGGATTGTCTCGAGGCACAAGGCTGGGGAAGCTTACAGAAACATTTCTGCTGCTCTGAAAGCTCCAATGAGCACAGTGGCCTCCATCATCCGAAAGTGGAAGATGTTTGGAACCACCAGGACTCTTCCTAGAGCTGGCCGGCCATCTAAGCTGTGTGATTGGGGAGAAGGGCCTTAGTCAGGGAGGTGGTCAATAACCCAATGGTCACTATCTGAGCTCCAGCATTCTTCTGTGGAGAGAGGAGAACCTTAGAAGGACAACCATCTGTGCAGCAATCCACCAATCAGGCCTGTATGGTAAAGTGGCCAGACGGAAGACACTCCCCGCCTGGAATTTACCAAAAGGCATCTGAAGGACTCTCAGACCATAAGAAACTAAATTCTCTGGTCTGATGAGACTAAAATTGAACCCTTTGGAGTGAATGCCAGGAGTTACCTTTGAAGAAAACCCGGCACCGCTCATCACCACACTAATAGCATCCCTACAGTGAAGCATGGTGGTGGCAGCATCATGCCGTGGGGATGTTTTTCAGACTAGTCAGGATAGATTCACAACTCAGTGAATGTCCTTGAGTGGCCCAGCCAGAGCCCAGACCTAAACCCTATTAAACATCTCTGGAGAGATCTGAAAATGGCTGTACACCGAAGCTTCCCATCCAACCTGATAGAGCTTGAGAGGTACTGCAAAGAGGAATGGGCCAAAATTCCCAAAGACAGGTGCGCCAAGCTCGCGGCATCATATTCAAAAAGACTTGAGGCTGTAATCGCTGCCAAAGGTGCATCAACAAAGTATTGAGCAAAGGCTGTGAACACTGATGTACATCTGATTTTTAAGCTTTTTTATTTTCAATAAATTTGCAACAATTAAAAAAACTCTTTTCACATTGTCATTATGGGGTACTGAGTGTAGAATGTTGAGGAAATAAATTAATTTAATCCATTTTGGAATAAGGCTGTAACATAAAAACGTGTGGAAAAACTGAAGCGCCATGAATACTATCCGGATGCACTGTATAATGTAAAAAAATCCTTATGGAGGAGAAAATGAAGTGAAACAGTTGTGCTCTATTTAAATTCATGAATATTTCTAAAGCCTGCATGCATAATTCATGAGCCGCTAGAGCCGAAAAGAAATGTTTTTAATTTGCCGTTACATTTTGTACATTCAGCCGAATTCTGAATCAGGTAATAAAAATAAAACCACAGGCGCTCACTGAATGGACGGTAATAATGCATAAGTGGTCTTTGGGGCTTTTTTTTTTTTGCATCCTGATTATTCGGCAAGTTCTGCGTGAAGTTGTGTTTTCACCGCCGTCTCTTAAAACATCTGCACAATGTTGGATAAGTCTGCAACCATGGAAGAAGACCGACCAGCCTGTCTCTGACACACACGTACTGTATAAACCAGAGACTCAGCAGCACCATTCAGATGAGGAAGCGTGATGAAGAGACGAGCGTGAGTCTGGATGGAGAAACGGAGCGTCTTCAGGACCTGAAACAGGCCGAGCAGGTTCCTCCACGACTGGACTCCTGCTGCGGTGAAATAGTGTCTGCCACCTCAGACTGCAGCAGATCGTTCTCATTAGCTATAATGTGCTTCACCAGACAGTGTGCGGCTTCATCTATATTAATATTCTCCTGGGGAGAGAGAGGGAGAGAGAGGGAATTTAATTTTACAAGACTTCAACATATTAAAACCAACCCAATACAACTATAAAAAATTAATTTCAAGTTGTATAAGACCATATGCATTTCAAATGAAAATAAAAACAAGTCTCATACAGAGACCAAAGAGAGAAAAAGATTTATTTGTTTGTATTTATTTTATTATTATTGATATATTTTTAAAAATGTCTTAATTATTATTACTTTTTTTGCTAATATAAATTTTATTTACTCATAATTATTGACTGTATGTCATAATATATGCACGTCATTATTAGGAGGGCCCATAATTTTGACTTCAACTGGATGTATTTATTGTTTTGTGTAAATCCTGTATATATTCCTTTCTATTTTATTATATATTATTATTATTAATATGTAATGTAATGTGTGTATTTATATAGCGCATTTATTGTGTATGGCCATACACCCAAAGCGCTTCACAATCATGAGGGGGGTCTCTCCACACCACCACCAGTGTGCAGCATCCACTTGGATGATGCGACGGCTGCCACAGGACAACGGCGCCAGTGCGCTCACCACACACCAGCTATTAGTGGAGAGGAGAGACAGTGATAGAGCCAATTCGGTGGAAGGGGATGATTGGGAGGCCATGATCGTATTATTTTAATCAATTTTGTTATTACTACTACTGTCCAGTTTTTTATCAGGTTACCCACTTTACCTCAATAAACTCCCCACTGGAAGGGTTTCAGGGCAAGTACGATGGATACAACTCCAGCCACTGCCGAACTTTTATTGCGTACACATAAACAATGTTCATCCACAAGGTAGACAGCTGTACTGACTTTACACTTGTCTGTCAAACTTGGACGTCCTTCCTCGTTTAATAACAGTTGTTAGTAACTAACTAGCAGTAGGTGGAATAGATCTATTATTACGGTGTGATTTTTCAATACAAAAACTCCCTCTTAAATGATCAGAATTTCATAAACAGGTTCTGTTATATTGGCAATTAATTTAAGAACATAATTTTTCCCCCACATAATTCACCAATTTGGAACAATAGGTACATTTTATTTAGAAACAAATCTTTTTTTTTATGAAGACTGGTGGGAGAGAGGTATTTGGTCGGTTGTCCATCTATTAGACAAAGAAGGTGAGGTTCTCAGTCAGGCCCGGATTGGCTAATCGGGAGAACCGGGAGAATTCCCGGTGGGCCGGTCCGTTTTTTGGCCACGAGGGCCGGTGTCCCTAGCTGCTTGCACTCTCAGCAGTTGCACTTTTTTCATTTATTTATTTATTTGACCATAGCCTCACTCTTTTTATTCATTATTTTGCCGCAGCTCCGCTCTTTTTATTTTTTTTTTCTCGCAGCCTCGTAAACAAAATGCAGCCTGCAAATTATTAATGATGTAACTATCATCATTCGACTCTAAACAGCGGCACCTTAGTGAATTCGAATAATTAATTTTGATTAATAATACACCTGCTCAATGAAAATCAGATGATTCACTACATTAATAAATCTGACATAACTTGATCAGAAATTTAAAAAGGAGAGAAAAAGATTAAGCCATCAATAAAAGTCTTGCAGGTCATAGTGCCATATTTGTTTTTTATTCCAGCCACATAATATCAACAGCGCCACTGTGGTCCAGTGGTCAGCACGTTAAAATATGACACGGCCGACCCGTGTTTGAACCTCATCTGAAAGATTTTTTTTTTTTTTTTTTCATTTTTTATTGTTAAGACATATGATACTGTTAGGGTTGTTGGAAATTTGAAGTTCTAAAGCAGCTGTTTTCTTGAAAAATGACGTGAAAGTGTCCTAAGAAACTGAATTGAAAATGACCTTATTTTAATAGTCCGTCGTGAACTGAGATGGGCCGGTCCAAGGCTTGAAACTCCAGGGCTGAAAAGGAGTCCCACTCCGGCCCTGTTCTCAGTCATAGAAATTTTTGTGAAAAATATAACTTTGAATGTGATCACAAGCAATACACTAGGGTATTAAAATCTATTCCGAAGGCATTTCTAACGATGGTTAGTAATGTGGTTTC